TTTTTTTTTTTTTTTTTTTTTTTTTTTTTTTAAATAAAGCGCAAGAAAGAAGAAAAAAAGGCTAAGATCATTAAGCAGTTCAGTAAAACAACCTTAATTTTTCTAAGAATTTAGCTGAGCCCAGCCAGCTCATTTCAGATGTATATTCTGGCCTCTTTGGTGGTTCTTCCCAACCTGGCATTTCTGATTCCCTGTCTGCCCCTCCTTTCCCTCCCACATGCTTGACCTCCAACAGCATTCCTTTGCTTGTCTTAAGACCTTACATGTCGTTTCACTCTCCCTCTCCCCCCAAGAATGTGATCCTGGCCTGAGCTCTCTAAATGTGTGTAGCAAGGATAAAACTTGCCTCGCTTGGCTGCCCCCTTGTTTGGAAACTCACCCTAAACATTTCCACATGGTTTGCACTCTTTTTGCACAGCTAAAATTTTTCAGGGTTTTCTTTGCCTTTAAACATTTTCTTCTTTTAAAAAAACCCTCCAGCGTCTTCTACCTTGGGCTGCTGGCACTGACCTCGCCTTGTTACTGTTCGCATTTCTTTTGTACCTTTTTGCAGCTGAAATCTCTATGGGCTTTTAAATCTGTCAGCAGCCGCTACCAGGCTCAGTGTGCAATTTAGCTCACTGTTTTCACAAGTTTCCCAGCCCTGAATGCTTTCCAAGTGAGCCATTGTTGGGCTGAGTTAAAGAGGTATTGTCTCTGCCTGGGCTAGGTTAGTGTGGGTGCCAGAATCTGCATGTGCAGCGTTCTTAGCTCTGCAATGTCATCTTGATATTGGACCCCTGGACACTTCCTTCTCCAAACACTTTTGAATATATAGGGAAAAGAAAACCCTGCCAAAATTGATTCATTGAAACATTATTGGAAGCTTGTTTTTATATGGCTGAAACTGTCATCTAGACATTTTTGTTTGTCCCTGCTCATGCAGGCTGCTTGCTGTGAAGACCATTCTTATTTGTTTAATACCCATTAGCACCTGAAACTGGCAGCTGTGATTGGAGTCCTGTTCTGGTCAGTGCTGAATAAACACAGAACAAGTAGCAGTCTCTGTTTTGGTTATTTTAAAGACACATTGTATAGAAAGACAGTCTATTGTTATCCACTTTTTACAGAAGAGAAAATGAAGCTGGGAAATTTGGTGGTATATCCAGAGGGAGCTTGTGACAGTTGGGTGTCAGTTTCAGATTACAGAATTATCCTTCATTTTACAAATGGAAGGTTGGCTAGTCTCAAAAAAGGTGTGTTCCACTGACCTCACTTTTCTTAATAGAGACTGAATTTGCTGGTCTGGTCAACCTGCTATGATGCTGTGTGGAGATAACATCCTTTATGTCTGAAATGCTGGTTTTCTTTTGCTGGGGACTGTGTGGTTCAGAGGACAAACATCTGGACAAGCATTTCAAACTGTAGGTTGCTGATGACATTACTGCCACTAGACAACTGTCTGACCTTTGGTTAAAGATATGATGATTTCACTGTTCTCCCTCTCTGGAAGACCAAGCTGGTACTGCAGGCCAGGAAGAAGGTGTGTTGAATTTTTGGCCTTTCTGTAAAGAGTTGTAAGGAGTGTATGTGTCACGTAAGCCAGTTCTTTGATTTTTTTTTTTTATTTTTTTTTTTTACTTCATGCAGTTCATGTAATCTTTTCCATCCTTGAATAATTATTAGTAATGAAAGTTTGACAAGAGAGTTGTTCAGGCTGCTTCTCTTCACAGGTTCTGCTCTGACAGGGAGAACTCACAATAGCAGGGTTAAAATTATGAAGCCAATAAGTCCTCTGCCTTTTGATTGAAGGCTAGTCAACATACCCTATCCAGATTTCTCTCAACTTATTAGAAGTTACCAATGCAGCTATTGACTTTTTTTTCTTTTTTCCCCCTGTTTTTCACAATCTTTAGGATGAATTGGATCTCACAGACAAGAACAGAGAGGCTATGTTTGCACTCCCTCCAGAGAAGAAATGGCAAATTTACTGCAGCAAAAAGAAGGTATTTCTGTTGTCCTGATTGAAGTAGCTCACCAATAAATTCTGTGTGCATGTATAATCACTGATATACATCTAGATTTGAACTACATGTTTACTCAAGAACATGATTAAGTGATGTAAGGATTTTTATCAGCATGAATATGGCACAACTTTCTTATAAGTAGTGTATGCTTGTGTGATTTCTGAAGAGAATGTTAACAAGTTAAAAACATACTTTATCCCATTTTGAATCTTTTACATTTTTTTTTTTTCTTTGATCTGGAAGAAAAGCTAACATGGAAATGTTTCAAGGAATTTTTAAAAACTTTTGTAGGTTGCTTAGAATAGAATATATATTGCTGAAATCCTTCAGAATATCTTCAAACATCTGTAAAATACATAATAATAGTGATGTCTTAAAACTTGGTAGTTCAAGGTCTTCCAGAGCTTGTAAGAAATGTTCTGGTATTGCACTGGAAGGTGAAGAAGACCTGCTCCTATCAATTCCTGTGTAATGCTTCTCCGTTCAGGGTATTCAAATTTCTGACAAACTGGTGAGATGGACAGTAAATCAGAGGCTGATATATCACACTGAGTATTTTGTCACTGGCAGAATGATAGCCAAGGGAACTGACAAGTTGTATCATTGCTGTGAAACTTGTAAAAGAGGAATTCCTGCAGGAGTGGTGTGGTGGAAAAGTTTTGCTGCTCTAGGAGAGAGACAGACAGTCAGAAACGAAGATAGTCCCAATAGCATGTATTCATTAACAATAAATGTTAGGGGGAAAAGGTGTGGTGAATTTGTTGGTTAGTTTTATTTCCCAAATGTGCAAGTCATAGTATGAGATGCATAACAGTCTTTATATGTGAGTCTGCATAACAGAATGGAAGAGGTTTAAATTTCAGTACTGAAGATGGAAGACTGAAACCCTGATCGTGGTCCTTCTGAGTTTGTGTTTGCTGCCTTTCTTTCGTTGGAGGGTGGGGAAAATTGGCTTTCTTACCATGTAATTAAAGAAAACAGTCAAACCAATCAGATGGGTGCTTTACATATGTGTTGCTTTTGGTTGAAATGCATCACACAGGGAAGTTGCTAGCAACAAATCGGTTACAATGCCTCTGAGCTAGCAGTAATTCACAAGTGCCTAAGAGCAGTCTAGGCTCGCTTGTCTTTGGGGCCTTCTCCATTCTTATTCCGGCTGGTACACAGAACTTGCAAGTGGAGGGAAGGTGCAGGCTCCAGTGATTAGTATCTGCTTTACATTTTTGCTGGCCAGCTCAGCTGGCTTTTTCATCTCTGGTGGGAGAGGTTCTATTTGTAGCCGTCTTAGAGAACCACACATTCCACCTCCCAGACCAGTCAGCCTTGGCAGGAAGATTCAGGCTTTAATGTATTTAATATGTTGGTTGGATTCACTACATTACACTTTTTTTTTTTTTTTTTTTTTTTTAATCAGTGGATTTGATATAAGAATCTTGAAGACCTTCAGAGTTAAAGAATCTGCGTACTGGAAAATCTTTATAATGCATTTATAGTGCAACCTCAGTTAGCTGAACTCCAGCTATCCAAAATGATGTGCTAACTGGAACAGGATACTGTTGCCAGATGTCTATTCATTACATTGTAGATACTTTCAATTACTTGAAACCTTAACTGCCCAATGTTATTGTTTCCCTCACACAGGCAGGGAGATGATAGGTGATGACATCTCTCTCTCTCTCTAGCCTACTATCTAATCCACCTATCATCATTTTTCAGTGACAGAGAAGCTTGTTGCAGGCTTCCCTTTACAGGAAAGCTGTATTTTCCCTGAAGAATTTGCAATCTAGCTTTAGCCACAAAGGGCCCACTTCCTCACTCGGTGGAATGCTGTCAGCCATCCAGGACGGGCCCTCAGAGAGCTCTGTCTTGCTGATGTTGGGTTCTCTGAGTTTCCTGGGAAGCAAGGGCTCTATGCTCTGTAATGTGGCAAGTGAACACATTATGAACTAGAAGGTCCAAAAGTGCAGGTTGAGGCAACTGTTCGCAATCATTAATCTCAGATGCCTTTTCTAGTCTAAAAGTAACGGAAGGTCAGAGCTTCCCGTTTTGCTTCAAAGGTGGCAAGATTAGTAGACTGTGTTAAGAAAACAAATGTCACTTGTAGAAATGAAGGTGTTGTAGGCACAATGTCCATTTATCTTGGCAGTTAGACTTTGGATACAAACTTCTATGGTACTTGTTCACAGTGTGGTAGCAGAAAGTCACTATTGGATCATAAAACTCATTCCACCTGTTTCTGACACCAAGTCTTTCTGAAGAAGTGGAGGAAGACATAGATGTCTTGTGCATTTGAAGTTATATTCCAGGGGCACAGCTTGCTAATCAACATTCCACAGTGCTCAAAGGAGATTCAGTTCTGGATTGAAATGTCGTGATTTTGGGTGATATCTACAGAGGAGTGTTCACACTGTATTATACAGCCATGCATGCTTTGGTCACTTTTGGCCATTCCAGGTTCGTATCTGAAACCGTTAGTACTAAAACCAAAGCACCAGTTGTTTCTTCTAGAGGAGTCGCTTCAGCTATCAGAGTTAATGAATGCTTCACTCTTATCTGTGGAGTAGCTATTTGCAAGGAATAAAGGCTGATCTGATGGAAAATATTCATGTGTTCTCAGTCTCAGCTGTCTTCTACCTTGCCATTAATAATTACAGAGTGGCCAATGAGAGATGCAGTTGTCTTAATTTGCATCAGAAGTATCATTAATCAGTAACCACTGATGGCACCCTGACCCTCTAGCCAAAACATCGGTACTACATGTTTTAGATAGCCCCTTTCTCTGTAGTATGAACTTCCCCTGATACCATATTGAGTTATAAGTAAAGCCATATGTAGACAGAATGCAAATGATGATATCCTCACCCAGCTCAGGTACTTTATTATGGTTTTATTTAGGATAATTTTTCAAGTCTCACCATCAGATAAAATTTAGATTTACATAAAACATATAATTAACTTCTGTAATTCCTTCCTGTAAGATTATCTCTACTTTTCCTACTAGTTATATATTTTGCAAGAATTAGATCAAGCACTAGACCTTGCTTTCAGGTGTATTTATTTGTAAATTTCTGTTATCAAGGTTTAGAAAACTGCTGTTATTCAGAGCTCTTTTACCAGGAGCTGGTACTAAAGTACATAATCTCATCGAATATCAATCAATTAATGATACAGAAATAAAAAGTTGTCAGCTTAATTATTTCACCCGTAAATGAGCTCATATTTGGATCTCAAAAAGGGTAGAAAATGCAGGTATTGCACTGCTTTGGCACATGTTGCTTTGAATGCAATCTGTTTCTCAGAATAAGGCCTCATTGTATGTGCAGTATCTTATTGCCTTCTGTACAATTCTGCAAGCTCTTAGACTTTTTACTATGAAATGGAAAGCAAGTCAAGTTGTTTTCTTTTTATGGCCTTTCCTGCCTCCAGAGACTAATTTGTAAAGCTTCAGTTGAGCAGATTTTAGTAGGAAGCACACGCGTTTTGCAGAGTTAAACAAGTTATGTTTTGGTTGTTTTCTTGGTGGTTTGTTTTTTTTTTTTTTTTTTTTTTTTTTTTTTTTTTTTACTTCTGTGTTTCTTTGAGGGAAAAATTGGTAGCAAATCTCTTCCCAGAGTGGACAGCTGTATCGTACAGCTTCTCCCGGACAAACAAACCAAACCATCAAAAATCTCAATCCTAATAACTATGTTATTCTTCTGATCTTGGTTGTATCCTAGAATAGCTGCTTTGAGTTGATTGTGCTTTCCCTTCTCGAGTGAAATTGTTGAAACTCAAGTAGTGAAGCATTAATCAGCACACTCCAACTTTCTGGAAAGAGGCGTTTATGACATCTGAAAAAAGAGTACATGCTTATAATCCTTAAATTGATTATACTTTTTCTGTCATGGGAAACAGATCTAGAGAAAGGCTTCTCCACAATAGCAAAATGGGCTTTAAAAATTCTGAGGAAAATTTATCTGAATTATACATTGTAACAGCCAATATGCAGAAAAGAGGATTTCCTTATGATTCCATCCCCTGGATTTTATTTTTTTTTTTAATGTGTTAACTGTATTTTTCATCTACCTGATGAATAAAATCTAGTAAATTGATATGAGAATAGGAGTTGGGAAATGCTTTGGTTCTGGAAGTCTTTGATCTAAATTGTTGTTATAATTTCAAAGAACTTTTCATTATTATGTTTATATATAAATGCATTTCTCACTTCCTGAAAGAAAGAGTAGCAAAGTTAGGAAACTCTCTGGCAACGGTCTGGCCATGCATCCTCTCGAACCTTTTCCCTGCACTATATACGTATGCCTTGGCTGCATGCAATATACTTTTTTCCTTCCTCCTTCCTCTCTCTGTCTTTCCTCCTCCAAGGTACAGTCTTAAAAATCTGAAGGTATTTTCAGTTTAAGCACCATTTGTTCTTTTCCTTGCTGCACCTATCTGTTTTCTAAGGTATTGCTGTAGGAATGAATTTTGTGGTGAAGTCTCCAGACTTGGGATTGTTCATTACAAGGAGGAGGAAGGATGGAGTGGAAGGCACTTTTCTGCATTACACAGTTGCTTAGGTGTTTGAATCCTTTGGACTGAGGTCACAGGTCAATGCTGAAACCGGTGAAGCTGCAGTTCAGGTGCATCACCTTGTGTTCAGTTCACTTTTCCTAATGGGAGGGTTGCATTCAGCCCCACATTAGGCTTTAGAATGCCCTGGGGAATCCTAGCCTTAGTCAGACTTTTAACTTTTAGTAGTTTTACTGCAGTCTTTTTATACCATTTGCAGCTCAATTTAACAGACTCCCACTTTGGTTCCATGCTGGCTGTCTAACATAATGGAGATAATGCTTACATGTCAGGCTTTGGGGTTTTTTTTCTTTCTTTGAGAGTTTCTGTTTGAGCTTTGCCCTTGAGGTTTGCATTGTCAGCAAAATGTCACCATAAAAAGCATAGCTTGATATTGTGCAGCTGAATATAGAGTAAGATACTTCTGTCCT